CTAACTACTAGCGATGGCCTCCAACCTACTAGCGATGGCCTCCAACCGACTAGTGATGGCCTCCAACCTACTAGCGAGGGCCTCCAGCCTAAAAGCGACGGCCTCCAATCCAATAGCGATGGCCTCCAACTAAACTTACTGGTGATGGCCTCCAACCTACTAGCGATGAATACGTCCGTTGATGGACTACGGATGACTACGGGACAGCGGGTTGATATTCCTTAGAAGTTTGTCTCAAAGACGCCTTCATCGACTTTGTACCTGAATTATTCCGAAATGATCCCAGACTACACACAAAGTTCCCAGAAGTTGGCGACGGCGTGTCCAAACGGAGAGCAAAGAAACCAGGCGATCCAATGATCAATGGATCATGCCAAAGACAGCCCAGGACAGTTGAGAGCAAGAAGCCCCGGGAACACGGCGAGGAAATCCCGAATCATAAAACCAAGAAGCCACCAGCATGTTGCCAAGCTGCAACCCCAGGGTTGCATAGAGGATCACTTACAAAACAAGGAGAGCCTCAAGTTGCCAAGCAGGGAAAACCCGGGAACACTAAGCAACATTCGAGGAGAGACCAAGCGTGCTTCGAATTTGTGAAAGAACTGTGAGTCCTATGCTTCAGCTGTCCTCGCGAGGCACCTTTGCCCAGCAGCACACGGCCCGCAGTGGTGAACATGGTCCAATTGGACATCACCTTCCTCAGGCCACTTGGCAAATTGTGGCTAAGGGCCAAACAAAGCAAAAAACACTGGAAACACATATATTTCCTCAAACACACTTGAAACGGGCCTTAGGCTCATTTTGTCTTTGTGCTCACAAGGCAGCTGCAGCCGGGAGAAGCTGCACATGTGACTGGGCTGACGGAAACAGACAGAGGCATGCTTTCAGAAGCATCATGTTTTTTCTTTCGCGTACAAGGAAAGTCATGAAAGTCATTGAGGCTTCCAGGAACGTGTTGGATACGACCAAGAAGCCTAGAAGCATGTTTGTTTCCCGTGCCTAAACTGAGTCTGGGAAGGTAGATTTGGGGATGAATGTAAAGCGTGGGAACCTGGTGTTGACAGGTGTGAGGGCCTGACGAACTTCACTCGTGCGACTCGTGTCGACTCGTGTCGACTTAGATCACGGTCCTGGCACCCAGCACTTCAAAGGCGGAAGCGAACCGAGTGTCGAAGCGGCGAAGCAAGTGAGGTAAACATGAGACATCGTGAGACCTTCTCACCCGCTGGGTGTGCTAAGTGTGTTTTGCTGTGTCCTTTTGCAGTTTTCAGTTGAGACCTTATTTGGCTTTTACAAGTTACATCAAGTTACCATGCGTAAGTCTTTGGTTCATTCTGACTGGCTGATGTTGCACGTGTCCCTGTTCTGTAGGTGCTATGTCAACGGTTTAGCGATGTGACTGGTGGAGGTACCTTGCTCGGAGCAGAACGGTTTAGCTTTAAACGTTCGTTCTCGGCTTTCTCGGCATGACGCCCAGGCAACCTGGCAGCTGCTTTGCCTTTGGATAACTCCGTGGGCACTTACGGTGCGGCATGAACTCTCTCGTGTAAAGACCTTCAGGCAGTGAGTCAATGAAAGCATTTAGGAGGCCGGATGCGGCATATTGGTTTCCTGTACTCTGTGTTCATCTATATTCCATGAAAAGCAACGATTGACATGTTCATTTTAAAGGCAGGTTGGCAGGTTTCCAAGTCGAAGTTGTCGAGAATACATCTAGCCTGGTCATTTTTTGATGGCGTTTTCACTTTGTACACATACATGTGCTTCACCATGACATCACAGACAGACACACACTCACACACACTTGTTGGAAGATTGGGGGGTGGGAGGGTAATGATTTTGTTTTCACGGATTGCTGGACAGTGTCAGTGAGGTTTTACAGGTTTTTGTCGCGCCCTAGTTGTTTGGTTTTGTGGGTGGAGCCCTGACGAGTATCGCACATTGTGTTCGATCCTGACCGTTTCTATCTTGCGTATCTTGACTTCTCGTGTTTATCGCATTTTACCGAAATATTGTTTCGATGGTGGTTGTGTGTTCGGGGTGAATATGTTACAACTATGTTGCAAAAATGCTGTCGGATGTGGCGACAAAACATGAATTCGACGAAGTTCGACGACTCCTGAAGACGTAAAAAAATGTCGGTGTCGTTAGTTCCTGGGGCTGTGAAGTGCTAGTGCTGAACCGTATTGCTCAGGTGTTCTTGACACTTGTTTATTCTCCCCAGTCAGGTGCCGTGTTCAAACATACCCTTCAGACATTCAAATTTCTCCACAGCGGCCCTGCAAATAGTGAAGCAAAAGAATAATGCATAAGAGAGCACAAAAGCACGCAGCCATCTATGGCGCGTCTACTTAGTTGCGTTGGGAAATATTCTGAGACGAAGAATCAGGAAGAAGGACATTCTGTGTTGCGGGTGTTTGCCCGCTCTCGACAAGGGTGAAGTGTGCAGATCCGCGTGTTTTGTGAACCAGGGATTCTCAGCCGGGATGTTGTTTCTCTTTGAGGGCTACTTTTTGTTGCCAAAAGGAGGGGAGAGTGCGTGTCCTTGTGGGTGCCATGGTGAGTCTGGATCGGTAGTTTGGTGCCACGAAACACGCTACACCACCGCAGATCCCGGCCATGTTTTTCTTGAACAATTCATAGCAAAAAAGGAAAGGCAGCGTAAACGATCACAGATGGCGGTCACAAATCACGATCACGCCGAACGATGCCACGGTGCACGATCATCACGGTGCATCACGATACATTACGAGGCAAGACGATTCCACATCCTCATCACGTTTGAGACCGTCTTGCGGTTTCTCGCCTGACGGTGAAATGGACGGTTCGAGGTACTCATACTTGCCAGCTCCAGAACTCCTTGACGATGCACCTGGACATCTCTCGACCGGTTCTAGCTGGTAGCTACGATCTGCGGATAGGCATGGCATGGCAGTTGGCATTGCATTTGGGACTCCTGCTTTGGGAGATTAGCAAATTGAGCTGTCAATGTCAATTATTTAGCAGCCGACGCGAAGTAGCCACACTTCACATCCTCTCTCAGTTTGATTTGTGTTTTGGCCAGGCGTGTTGAACCCTGGCATGCGTGCTGTCGTTGGCTTATTCCAGCGGTTGGTTTTGTCCAGAGAGCGAGAAAGAAGAGAGAGAGAGAGAGAAGGCCAGAGAGAGAGAGAAGGCCAGAGAGAGAGAGAAGGCCAGAGAGAGAGAGATAGAGATAGAGATAGAGATAGAGGGAGAGAGAGAGAGATAGAGATAGAGATAGAGATAGAGATAGAGGGAGAGAGAGAGAGAGAGTGAGATAGAGATAGAGGGAGAGAGAGAGAGGGAGAGAGAGAGAGGAGAAGGAGAAAGAGAAAGTGAGGTGCACAAGAGAGTGTAAGATGGAATTAGAAGAGGCGTGACGTCCTGTCTTTGACATAGTTGTTGCTCCTCAATCCTGGGTGAGCCTTCGATGTCCATACCCACTTGACAGCTGGGGAATAACTGCAAGATAACCACAATCACGTGTGAATATATTAGTTACATGTTGTATTGCAATATTACGAGTGTGTCCAAGTTCCAACTCACTAGAACAAGACCAAGCAGTGCAGCGCTGTTGCCAAAACAATTTATAACAGAGAACAGTCCGAATCCATGCGCATGGTTGACGCTCACTCTTGAGAATTCAGCACCAGGGACAGAATGCTCCAACACTGAGGCTAAAGACTTCTGGACTGTTGAACTCATCAAAGAGGCCAGCTCCGACCAGCACTATCAATTTTTGTTTAGGCAGGAACAAGTGCATCGCTACTAGTAACGAGTGCCTTACTAGTAGTAACAAAAAGCTATTAGTAACAAGTGCCTTACTACTAGGAGCAAGAAGCAGTCTTCAGGATCGCATCGTTGCTGCCGGGGACTGTTCGTTACACGACTGGCGATCTGCCGTGCGCTGTACCAGGTTACTGACTGGCGTACGGCTCCAGTCCCTGGGATCGCATGCGAAACACAAACGACTTCACAGATCAGTTACTACTAGAAGCGATGCACTTGTTTATGCAAAACTCTCAGTTTGTGTTTGTATGGCACTTTGCGCCACTGCTCCAGATTGTCCACATGATTTGCGCGTGTCATCCATGGGGGGTTCCATGTAGTGCAATCACTTGGGAAAGTTCGGAACTGAAAGCTCGCCACACGGAAAGAGCCAGGTAACCATAGTGCGGAACGCATGTACGGGGGTCGCAACAAACGTTGCGCTGTCTCAGTGTTTGAGGCAATGCTCAAAGTTCAAATGAACGGCTTTGGCGTGTCAGGGCCTGCAGTTTGTGTGCCATGTGCGGTGCGGTCGTGGGACCTGCGAATTTTGTGCAACTTTCCTTGTCCAGGCAGATCCTGCCCCTTCCAAAGTTTTAGGATGGCAGACATGATGCCAGTCCATGGCCTTGCAATGTCAAAACTTGAGTTCACAGTTCACACACAAAGACTTACAATTTGGTAGTATATCACTCTTCAGAAAGACTTTTATCATCTTTCGTCTCTTTCATCTTTTTCAGGTCTCAGCCTTTTGTGAAGGAGATTGCGCCCATTGCCGCCCAGGCGAAGCCGAAGCGAAGCGTTTTGTCTGTCGCGACGAGTCGTTTCGAGAGTAGACGAGTCGCGGCCGAAACAGGACGACAGCGTTACTACCTCAGATATAGTCACACTACTGACAGTAATTAACTGTAGCAACACTGTACTATCAGAAGGGTTTTTCAGACCTGTCCAAATCTTCGGTCTTCAGGTCGGAGCGAAGGTCGCTTCAGCTCTTGGGAGCGATGCATAGATTTGCGTAAATAGTTGTTGAGCTGCTGATGTTGCCGTCTTTATTCTCTAAGTTTCTGGGTCCGATTCTTTCACTTGCAGCTTGCAGGCCCAAGCCTGGTCAATAGCTTGGTCATTGTACCTTTTCAAGCTCGTTCTTCAAGGTGCAGGTGGGACTCATCGGAGCAGTGACGAAACCTGTCATGTCAGACGCGGAGAAACCCCTCATGTTTAACCAAAACCGTGAAAAACTGAGAACCTGTCGAAGCTAGAGGCTGAGGAGGGCTAAGAGCTGACGATTGGGTACAAGGCGAAGCGAGAGCAGCACCCGTGACGTGTGACGGTTAGCGTTTTAGGCTGCCGAGCGTCGAGATGCCAAGGCCGACCTCGAAGCGAAGCAGATGGAGAGATGGAAGTTGAAAGTGCTCGAAGCGGAGTTCGTGGGATGGATACATCTTTCAGATCTTTCAACATCTTTCAAGCAAAATGACCGGAAATCAGGAGAATCTGGATAGCATTTTGCAAGATGTGGGCCTCGTGCATCGCCAGGAATCCCAGAACAAGCACGCATGGGCCATGGGCACTCCCTTCAACTTCAAGTCATTCCGAATTTGTCGTTTGCAGGTTCCCCTTTCGATTTCGACACTTTTGTGGGGTGCAATCTTTGGTTTATGCTGAGACCGTCAATGTTGCACAGTTCCTTCTGCATGTGCGCCTTTCTTCCCAGGATCTGGAGAAGGAATTGGACTGGTTGGAAGAGGCCCAACACCCAAGTGTCGAGGGTGAAGACTGTCTTAGTTCGAATCATGTGTGATTAGACTGCCTTCCAGACCGGTTTTCCAAGAGCTTGGCACACCTATTCATGGCATAGCAAATATACAAATCAAGTTTGGGTCTGCGTTTTGATCAGATTGCTTCTTGGATTTCGACAAATGCAGTTTTGCTGGCTCTTGCTTCTGCCCGAGCTGAGAGTCCGAAAACCGTAAAGAAGTGAAGCGAACGGAAGCGTTGAGCGGCAAAGAGTGAAGCAAAACCGTCGCATTCGTTGTCATGTTCCTAGTAGCGATGCCCTTGTTCCTAGTAAGAATGCTACTAGTGATGCCAGGAGCCCCTAGTAGCGTCCATTCTCCTAGTATGGCCAGGAGCTACTAGTAGCGTCCTTGCTCCTAGTAGTGATGCCCTTTGTTCCTAGCAGCTTCTTGTTTTCTGGAGAAGCGTTGTGGTGTTGAGCTACCGAACCAGGATGGAACAAAAAGCTCTACTTCCCCAGACCTGATCTCATCAAGCTCACCGCGGGGTTGTGCCGCTCGGAGGCATTGCTTTCGCTCCCCCCTTCATAGTGCTGGAAGCGGTGCGGTCCGCTTTGTTTCAGATGAGGCCTTTTACATTCTTTTACTGTAACCACACCACATTGTTTGGTTGCAGTTGGCTTTCCTTTTTCGAGTCGATCGGTCAATTGCAAAGATGGCTTGAAAAGTGTTTCTGTGAATGCTGTTGGCCCCAAACTGGTCTCAACAAATTATGGTTCCTCTCTATTTAAAGTGCATGCTTTCAGCACTTTTTCGCTGTGTGCTGAGTCTTGTCAGTCGTTTTTAAACCTGGGCCGGAACAGGCATGGCCTCGGGACAAACAGGGACGGAGCGCAAAATAGAAATCGAACAAAGTGCGGGGTGAAATTGACTCTACAACTAGTAACAAGAAGCTACTTTTCCATCCCTCCTTTGTCGATCCCGCGCAATGTGTCCCCAGGCCTTCACTCTGACCTTTCAGTCGCTCCACGTGTGGAATCGGGCTCTCAAGGATCTCTCCGGCTGTTGGTGAGCGTCTTGACACATGGATGTGATTACAGCCTTTGTACCCAGACAGGCTTCAATATTTCTGACTGTAGAGCAAGCGATTTTGTAACTTTCAGCACTGTCAGGCAAATTCAAAAATACTGTTTGTGCCTGACTTTGCAAAGTTGGAAGGCGAACTGTTGAAAGTCCGCTGACACTGTTTGTCAATCATGTTTCACTGGTGTGGACATTTGAGCAAGGAAGATAAGGAAGACATTGATTCTCGGAAACAGGTTCTTCATGAGCTTGACCTGCCTTTGTTTTGTAGCAATTTGTCCATAAGCTAAACGAAAGGATCGGCTGGAAGTGGCTGCCAGACCATTTGCCCAAATCAAGACAGTCGCATGGAAGGTAAAGCAACTGCCTACAGCGGCGAAGATAAAAAGAACAGAAAAGACAGTGGACCGCAGTAGACCACCATCAGGCAGCGAGGTGTCCAGAATTCAGAGTCATTTTGGGGTCAAAACCGTTCATGGTGCTATGATATACGCACTAATTAGCTTGTTTGGGCGCATGGGGCAAGCTTGATTTTCCCGAATTTCGAAAAATTTTAACCATAGAGCAATGCATTCTTGTCGTAAGTTTAATATCACTGGATGGTTGTTGCTTCAGTTGTAGAGGAAAGTCGACATTCCCAAACTTCATCGGCGGTTTGCTCGACACCGTTCCAAGCTTGTTGCATGCACTGACTAGAATTTGTAGAGTACTGAGTCATTGAAGCTTTTGGATCCTCGCGCTGTGCACCAGAATCATTTTTCCTCAAAATGGGTAGCTCTGTGTCTGTAGTGGATGCGCCGGCCTTCCTGAGGCATGTGATTGGGCAGCCAACACCGGATTTGTTTGGTCAAGTGCGTGTCCAGTCTCACTTGAGATGTTAAGAACTACCGGGATTTTGTAGGAGCAAAGGGCATCGCTACTAGGAGCAAAGGGCATCGCTACTAGGACCTGTACGAACTCACGACGCTTCAAAGGCCTAGCGGGAGCGCAGTGCCTGTGCGCAGCAGTGCAGGCAGTGCAGCACCCAGAACGCCAAGGCCTTGACTTCGTTCGACTTCGTTGATGTTTTTCGGCAACCCACGATTTCCTCCAAACGAAAGTAACCACCACATTGCCATGATCAATTATATCCGCCCCCGGTGGAAAAGATCTGTCCAGAACTCTCTTGTTTCCGTATGTTTCCGTAGTATTTTGGTTCATCAGCGGATGAGTTGCCCGAGTTGCAACTCTCGCCTCGGCCTTCGGCATTTGAGTTCTGCGATCCCGCTTTGAGGCGACGAGACCTCGTTGCAACGTGTCCGGCCTATACATCGGATCCTTTTGCGAGTAACCTTCAAACTGCCACTGTGGAGGCCCGCAGAGGGGTACCCCCCAAAGAGACCGCTGCTTCGGAGGCCCTGGTTGAGGAGAGTGCCAAGTCAAGAGTTTGGGCCAAGGCAAAAGGGAAGGCAGTTGAACGAGGAGAAGAAGGCCGAGGAGATACAAGTGAAAACAGAGCAGGACGAGGAACCCAACAAAGAGCCCCTAGCCTAAGCAGAAGGACACGAAAGCGAAGAAGGAAGTCGAAGAGACAAACGTGGTGCAGCACCCCTTCAAGAGATCAGTCACCACAGACGGGGCAATGAGAGCATTGAGTCGAAGAAGAAAAGGGTGAAAGGGTGAAAAGAGCGTGACACCAGACAAACAGCGGGCCATACCGTTACCAGAAGAAGCGAGCAGGAAGAGAAAAGGTTGCAACTGAGGAGGCCCCAAAACCATCGGCTAGGAAGCCACCACCGCCCCCAGTGGCGCGAGAGTGTGGGTGAGCCAGACGGCATGGCAGCACAAGACCAGCAACGTGCCCGGGATCGACGCGCCCTCGGAGAAGAGGATCGAGCTATGAGGGCGGCGAGAAGGAGGCCAGCTCGGGCCGAGGAGGGCAGGGGCAGGGGGCGTGAAGGAAAGGGCACTTCCACGCAGCTTTGGGCTTGAACTTGGGGTTGTGGGAACCCGAGAAGGCAGCGTCCATGTTTGTGGCCGTTGCGCCCAGACGATGGAAGGACAGAGCAACGATCAGGGCACCGGCCGGCTTGGCGTGGAGTCGTCGAGGCAGCTGGGCTTTGCGCCTGGGGGCAATTTAGCTTGACGCAAAGAAGAAGATAGAGAAAAGAGAGAAAGACGTTTCGAAGTAGGCAGACATCTTCGCGGAGCAGTTCCCTGCCGTTCACAGTCCGTTCAGAGTCCAGAGGAACCTCATTGGTTTGGGATGATGCCTTTCTTCAGTGTGTCATATGAGGGATTGTCAGTTTCTAGCAAAGGTTTGCACTGCTTCTTCTGTACTCTGACCCCGCCTCCAAACTGCTTCCTGCGCTTCAACAAGCCTGTGCCTTGGAGTCTTGCGCAACCCGAGCTGAAAGGCCTCTTTGCCATGGGGTTCGTGAACTGGGTTGGGATTGCGCAGCATGCGCACAGGCGCTGGTGACTCGATCACGGCCGAAGGAAAAGGGGCGGCGTGGACAAAGTGCTTCCCAAGCGAGAGACCGCGTGGCGCGGGCATACCTGAGGAATCGAGTGCTTGTAGTTTCCCCGGCAGTCAATGGGCTGGGCCCTCAAGACTGCGCGCCCGCGCAACACTTGTGGACTTGCGCCTGGGACTTCTTGAAGATACTTCAAACCGCGCTTCACATTTTACCCTTGAGCCGCGGCAAAGCAGCAGGCCGACAGGTCGAAAACGCTTTGGGGACGGTACAAAAATTGCCAGAAATTCAAGAAGAAACGCTCGAAATGAGCGGAAGGTTTCCCAGATACTCAAGAAGAAAAGCTCAGAATGAGCTGAAGGTTTCCCAGATAGTCGAAATGAGCTGAAGAGCCCCCTACTCGAAGAACCAAAAAAGCATTCCGTGGACTCTAACCAGTGGCCCACATAGTGAGGGGGAATCATCACTCTGGGCGCCTTTTCCTTCACGTGTGGACGAGGAACAGGGGTGCTTTGAACAGTAGTTCGATTTGTAGTTAACCTATTTTGTTTTATTCATTTGCTGCAGAGAGAAACAAAAGGTGCGGCTGACAACTTTTATTGTAATATTTTTTTAGATACTTGTATCATATATACGTATACAAACATACAAAAACATACATACATACATACATGCATACGTACATATGAATATACATAAAAAAATTATACCAGCGTAGACCCCAAACAGAGCAATGTTCAAAAATGAGATCTCCGAACAATATGGCCAGCAGTATTTCCTAGAGGAAGAAAACTATAGTCCACCATGTAGACGCACATACAAGATTCAAAGGGAAAGCATTAAAATTTTGCTTTTCATTGACTTTACAATGGGACGCCGTACAAGGGCTAAAACATGAAATTTATGGATCCAGGTTGTGACATATGTTGCCCCACTTGTAAACACGAATGCGCAGACCCAATCAAAATGAAGATTTCCTCAGAGCACGGAC